AAAATCTAAAAAAAATAGCCCATAGCATTGCTGGCCTGTTAATTAATTAAGATTATTAGACAGCAGGTATCTATATAAGATTCTGCTGTATTTCTAGACAATGCAACTAATAGAAAATCATTTCAAGTGAATATATTGAAATTACTATCAAAACAATAATTGTTTGAGCATGACTATAAAATACATGTGCAATTAAAAGGTTACAATTTATTATTGAAAGAATCAAAAGCCTAACTATGATGAGAGATACATAGGCTAGTAATGCTAGGTTAGAATGCTAATAGCATAGTATGACATAAGGATGTCGTTTCTCCTTCAAATCTTTCTGTATTTTATAAGATTCATGCCAGAAAGGTTGGTTGACTACTTTTCCAGGGATTTAAAAGTTCAGTCTAGAAATTATCTAGAACTGTAAAGATAGAATGATGACTGATCTACTTAGGTCCATTCTACTGCCTTACTTTCAAGTCCATGTCATCTTAGGCAATGCTGCACTTCTACAAGCACAATGTTTGCTTCTGTGATTTTCAGCAACAGAACACCTACATTTCAGTAGAGATTCTTCTCTACTGATGATACCATACCATTGAGTTACCAATTGTTCATCTGTCTTGGTTTCCTTCTAACACTGACCAGTTGAGTTTATACTTCCCATTAGTTCTTTGATGCTTTTGGATTCTATGTCTCTGAAATAATTTTAGAGCACAAGTACAGATTTATTTTGTTAATGCTTATTTTTGGCATTTCATTACGTTATTCAACAGAAATAAAAATACATGAATTTTTAATTTCTCATCTTGACCTAGATCTGCCATAACTCTGCTGGTGTTGCCTTTCAGTATAGACTATTCTCATGATTTTTAGAATCTTAAGGAGACTTATGGTGACCCACTGATAACTAAGCCAAAAGAATAAGAGAAAAAGCGAAATATCTAAAAGTTTTATAAATCATCTGTGAGTAATTCTGGTTATTTGTGAGTATTTTTAAGCATGATGCTATTTGGGAGGTTAGTTACTGTCTAATGAAATTTAGTAGCATTTTATATTTTCTAAAAGGATTGTATAGAACAAAGCCTTTGTTAAGAAATCAATAATCTATATACCTATTGATTTAAGTTCTAGAATGTGTTATTAATATAAGCAGATAAATGTGAGCAGGTTTTGAACACTGAGAAGTAAACTTGTGCCTTTTATGAATTGGTTTCTTATTCAGCTGGTAGCAAAGTTTCCATAAAATTAAATGTCTGAAAGAAATTAAAGGCCTGAAAGATTTTAATAGCAAATAGTCGACTTTCCGTGCATTTATTACTGCTACTCCTCATTCCTGCTTTCTTGGCACTAAATAGCCTAGCCTGAGAGTGTATTGAGTTAGGTTGCTTTGACGCAAATGGAAAATTGACATATTGTTTGTGAAAGGGAGCAGAGCAGTTATAAAAAAGCTATTGGACTGCCGTTCTTGTTAAATATAAACCCATACATGTCTTTTTCATGTGATATATTCTTGGCTCTCCATATCCACTTCCACTGACCTAATACAGCCCTATTTCCTTCCTGGACCCTTAGAAGACCTCCTTTTCTCTGTTTATAGTCACCTTACCCTCATTCAGTTACTTTTCAGACAGCAGTCAGACAGTCAAATACTTTGGAAAATGAACGAGCCATTTCCCTGGCCTAAAGATAATATCTTCTAATGTTCTGAGTTTTTTTGCTCTCACTATTACCAATTCTGGTTCTTCTTTGGAATTTCATTTCCTTTTCCCATTCCCAAAGGATTTATTGGTAAATACTAGTCAGAAAATGTTATGTGTCTTATTTCTTCTGGACAACCGAATAAATAACTGTGTACAGATGCCCATCAATAGTGTTGAAATGGACCCAGTTTTATCCACCCCTATTCATATACCTAGTCATGAACATAGGGATTATAGTCAATCAGTTCTTCTGGCTTGAACCATACACTGATCTCCAGGTCAGTAGTGCTGATCTAGGTGTTCTCCATAGGTACAAACAAAGTTCATAATCTTGAAAACAGAACCCTCACTGTCTGAAACAGTCAAAAATCTTACTCATCAGGTCACGATTTATGTCATCTGACTTGACAGTGGTGAGGATTCACTCAAGACTGGCCTTGTAAGAGAAGGCTGTTGGATCAGTGGTGCTTGTCTTTTAAACAAGTCCTCTACTGAGACAAGACCCTAATGCAATTTACCAGAGCCCACAGAAGTGGATTTGCTCTACTTTGACCAAAGGTCAGAAGTTCAAGCCTATTCTTGCTCCTTCAATGTTATGACAGGAAGATTGACCCAGGAGAGGCTACCTACAGGATGCTTGGCTTAAAGTGTGGTCACTATATGTCCTGCCTAAACATATATAGTTACTTGATGTCTCGGGTATTGAAGAGGTAATTACTCTGCTTGTTCTTTGTACCATGGTAAAGCAGTCCATTGCCTTCTTGCCCCGGTTTGGATTGGGGTACACTACACATATGAAAAACAAACATAGGTGGAATCAGTATTTACTGGGATGCCCTCCTGAGTCTATCCTGCGATTCTATTTTTTGTATATCTGTTTTTCTATCTATCATTTCCTAATCCTCATGCTTCCCGCAAGCATAATCTGGTTGACACCTAACTGATGTTATTGCCCAGGTGTGGGATATGGAATATTTTTAATTTTTTTACATGATGTTTTCTTTGCTTAAAACTCAACTACTTTTATAAACATTATAAGCATATTATCATGGTGCTTATAGTCCACTTTATAAAGTGAATTGACCATGTGAAGTTCTCAAGTTTTTTGTGATAGCACTGGTGAGTAACTTCAGAAATAGTCCTGACCCTGAAGCAGCTACAGTCCTGGGACAAAAGTCAATATTCATCAGGTACATGTGTAAGTTCACTCATGAACAGCATGTGTTACAAGAACATGTGATAAGCACATTATACAGAGTCGCAGAGAGAGAGAGAGAGAGAGAGAGAGAGAGAGAGAGAGAGAGAGCCCGCGCACCTCTCTACTCCTGTTTATCTATCTACCTGGCTCCAGGTGACCACACCTAAGCCAGATGTGATTGGCTGAGCTTCCCCATCAGTTATCTAAGAAATAAGCCAGAGAAATTGCTCAGAAAGAATGCTGATAACTGAGCTGTGAATGAATTATCAGGTCATGAGACAAAGTGGAGAGAAGAGTAGCAAAAGGACTGGAAATAAAAACATGGATTAAAATTCCTGAAAAAAAGTTTGCTTTACATCCTCAACCATGCCTAGGTGTCTATTCCCTCCTCCTGATCTCCTCTGTCTCTCAGTTCAGTTTCTATGTCAGGGTTGATTCCTCTGTTTGTTGCTTGGGAGGATGGATAGTTTAATGCAGACAGTACCTGGAGTATAAAGTCCAGAGAAGAGCCTGAATGACCCTGGCAGGTCACCACTTGGCCATTATTGTTGGCTAGACCTAATTTCTGTGCTCACTGCCGTAACCAGTGTCACTGTCTGTGAGCAGACTAAAGCACACAGGGAACAACTGTGCTAGACACCCTCCCACGGTCAGGAGAGTCCTCAGCGATGCTCGAGCCTTTACACACTCCACTGATTTCAGACTCGTGCTTGGTTCTTTGGTACTACTACTCAGTTTGAAAAGCTTTTTCAAATACTTAGAGAAAGGACACACTAAAAGTAAAACACTAAAATCCATTCAAAAGTAGACTAATGTAAGTATTTTAAAGTTAATTTCAAGTATGGTTTTCCACAGAAATGTGTTGCAAATGCACACTTGAAATCACATTAGAATTGAGAAGCATTTTACATCCACTAGAGAAAGAAACAGTTTTAGGCTAGACTTTCTAGCTTGAGTCTTTTTCTACATGCACTCATGAAAAAATAAAAAAAAAAAGCGGTCACAAAAAAACGGTCACACTAATGTTTCCATTTATATTGCAAATTGCAGTTTCACCCATGAAATCCTTTAACATATGGTAAATTCTTCCACGGGGAAAATACTGAATTGATTATGGAAGTGATCCACTATCCTCAATACAATATAATATGGTTAAAAATCTGAATAAAGAAGATAAATGGTTCATGGTTAAATAAACAGTTCTAGGCACAGTAGGCATTAATTATGCTAGGTGTTAATCTATGTTACTTGTATAATAAATTTCAGAGAATAGACAGCATTTGCTTTATGCTTTAAAAATCCCTAGGTCTCATTCAAGGGTGTAAAAAAAATAAACCAAAAGTTTCAAGTTATCTATAGAAATATATTTTTCTAACATACTAAAAATGCAAAGGTATCATTTCATATATTTTTAATTTTTGAGATTATTATATAATTACATTTATCCCAAATCTTTACTTCCTTGAAACTCGTCATTATACTCCTCTTTGCTCTGTTTTAGATTCATGGTCTCTTATTCCATTAATTGTTATTAAATATGTGTATGTATGTGTATAGGTATATACATATGTATTCTTAGATCTAACTTCTGTCTGAATGGTGTTACACATATACATTAATGTATATTAATGGGACTGTGCTCTATGACTCTGCATTTTGATAGGTTGTGCCTCTCTGTAGTTGTCTCCATCTGTTGCAAAAAGAAGTTTCTTCAATGAGGGATGAGGACTACCCTTACCTGTGGGTATAAAGGCTAAGACTTAGGCTATTAGGGATTATGCCAATTCAGTAGTCATGATTGTAGGTTCCCCTCTAATATCTAAGAATTTACTAGCACTGTTGTTAAGTTACTAGTACTAGGCATGCTATACCCTTTGTTGACTGGATCTTAAGTCCAATTAGAGAACTGTTGATAACTGACATGGTGTGAATAGTACCCTCAGGATTCCTGTTTCATGCTGGCCATCTATGTGGTTCAAAACCTTCATAGGACTGTTGGTTGCCTCCTTTCTTTGGCATAATGCCTTCTGGTATCATTAAAATCAGTTCTGGGAGCAGGGCTAGATCCTCTGCACCGGCCAGGCCAGGTCCGCGGAGAAAAATCTAGGAGAATGATTCCAGCGGCCAATGCTGGAAAGCTGGCTCGAGAATCAGACGACCTCGGGAAAGCCCGAGTCCCAGGGGATGCAGCTCCCGGTGCTCCAGTGGCCGCCCAGCTGTCGAAGGAGATTCCGGAGATCTTAGTGGACCCACGCAGCCAGCGCCAGTATGTACGGGTCGCTTTCTGGGTAAAGGAGGTTTTGCCAAATGCTTCGAGATCTCAGATGCAGACACAAAGGAGGTGTTTGCAGGCAAGATTGTGCCTAAGTCGTTGCTTCTCAAGCCCCACCAGAAGAAGATGTCTATGGAGATTTCAATTCACTGCAGCCTCGCACACCAACACGTCGTAGGCTTCCATGGCTTTTTCGAAGACAGCGACTTTGTGTTTGTGGTTTTGGAGCTCTTTCGCAGGAGGTCCCTCCTGGAGCTGCACAAGAGGAGGAAAGCGCTGACGGAACCCGAGGCACGCTACTATCTGTGGCAGATAGTCCTGGGCTGCCCGTACCTGCACCGCAATCAGGTCATTCACAGGGACCTCAAGCTGGACAACCTCTTCCTGAACAAGGATCTGGAGGTGAAAATAGGGGATTTGGGGCTGGCAACCAAAGTGGAATATGAAGGGGAACGAAAGAAGACCTTATGCGGCACTCCCAACTACATAGCTCCTGAGGTGCTGAGCAAGAAGGGACATAGTTTTGAGGTGGATGTGTGGTCCATCGGGTGCATCATGCATACCTTGCTAATGGGCAAGCCACCTTTTGAGACTTCATGCCTAAAAGAGACCTACCTCCGGATCAAGAAAAATGAATACAGTATCCCCAAGCACATCAATCCTGTGGCCACGGCCCTCATCCAGAAGATGCTTCAGAGAGTCCCCACTGCTCGCCCCACCATTCACGAGCTGCTTGATGTCGAGTTCTTCACTTCTGGCTATATCCCCGCCCGTTTCCCCATCACCTGCCTCACCATCCCACCGAGGTTTTCCATAGCTCCCAGCAGCCTGGACCCCAGCAGCAGGAAGCCTCTCACTGTCCCCAATAAAGGTATAGAGAACTCCTTGCCTGACCGTACCCGGGAAAAGGAAGAACCAGTGGTTCGTGAGGCAAGTGAGGCCATCGAGTGCCACCTTAGTGACCTGCTGCAGCAGCTGATCAGTGTCAATGCCTCCAAGCCCTCAGAGCGAGGGCTGGTGTGGCAAGAGGAGGTCGAGGATCCTGCGTGCATCCCCATCTTCTGGGTCAGCAAGTGGGTAGACTATTTGAACAAGTATGGACTTGGGTATCAGCTGTGTGACAACAGTGTGGGGGTGCCCTTTAATGACTCAACCCGCCTCATCCTCTACAATGACGGTGACAGCCTACAATACATAGAACGTGACGGCACGGAGTCCTACCTCACTGTGAGCTCTCACCCTAACTCCTTGATGAAGAAGATCACTCTCCTCAAGTATTTCCGGAATTACATGAGTGAACACCTACTGAAGGCAGGGGCGAACATCACACCCCGGGAAGGTGATGAGCTGGCTCGGTTGCCCTATCTGCGGACATGGTTCTGCACGCGCAGCGCCATCATCCTGCACCTCAGCAACGGCACCGTACAGATTAATTTCTTCCAGGACCACACCAAGCTTATCCTGTGCCCCCTGATGGCAGCAGTGGCCTACATCGATGAGAAGAGGGACTTCTGCACATACCGCCTGAGCCTCCTGGAGGAATATGGCTGCTGCAAGGAGGTGGCTAGCCAGCTGCACTATGCCCGCACCATGGTAGACAAGCTGCTGAGCTCATGCTCTGCCTGCAACCGCCTCAAGGCCTCTTCATAAGCCTCTGTCCCTCGGACTGGTTCCCCTTCACTCTGCAAGTTCTGTCTGGGCCTACACTGCTAGGCTCCTGGGGCTGCTGTTCAGTGCCCCTGGCCCTGGGGGCTGGGTGGGGAGCAGTGCCCCGTTGAAGGGGTTGCTGTGTAAGTTATTTTTGTACATGTTTAGGTATGGGTTTACAACCTCTTCTCCTGCCCTCAGCCCTCTGTATCAATTGTATAGATATTTTTATTGAATTTGGGACTGTCCTTTTCTTAGCTTTATATGCATTAAATATATGTACATCAAAAAAAAAAAAATCAGTTCTTAGAGAGAGGGCATTCATGCCTGATCTGGTTCAGGGGTCTTAGACCCGGTTTCTAAAGTGCATGATGTCTTAGCAATAGGTACTCAGCTTCCACCTCTGGGGGTAGGGAGGTAAGAAAAGGCAACAACCATAAGCTATATGTTTTAGGAGTCTCTTATACACCCCTAGACAGTCACTCAAAAAAAAGTGTTAATTCATGCCTGGTATTGTTTTGTTTTGTTTTTGTTTGGATGTTGTTGATTTTAAGGTGGTCATTGGCTCTTGTTGGGTAGCATTTTAAACTCAAGTGAGAAAAGTTCATCAAAACTATGTATTTATATTTCTACTCAGAAATGCATATATTATAGAGTTTCAGGATAAATCATCAATGATCATTTTTCGATTTTTTTGGCATCCTTGTTATTTTACACTCCTCCTATACAGGCTTCCTTCCCACTTCCTCAGTGCCCACCCTTTTCCAATATCTCCTCTCAGATTACTGTATCCTGTAATTCTATGAGGTCCCCTCTCTTTTGTTTTCACCTCCTTCCCAGTTCCTAAGATACTCATGCTTTCTCACATTTCTCTGATCAAGTGCCCTGATAGTTCCTTTCTCTATTTCTTCAGTGCTCTTACCCTGGCAAAGACCCCATTTTACTTTCCTGGCTTCTGCAGTTAGTCCAATCTTAGCACTCAGAGCTAGTCACCTCCAAAGGGAGATAACATGCAGGGTTTGCCGTTCTGTGTCTGTGCTGATCTCACTCAATATGATGTTTCCTAGTTACTCCCATTTACCAGCAAAGCACATCATTTCAGGTTTTGTTTCAGCTGTAAAATACTTCATCTAATGAAAGTATTCCAACACAAATTTGTAGAACACTTAATCTATGTTTTGAACTAGTCTGTATAATCTGGATATGTCAAGAAATTATGTGAACTTTCTGAACTCTTAGATATTATGTTCTTGAAGATTCCAGTAAGTATTTATATAGAGATTTCAAAATGATTTCCCAGTGATTACAGCACTTGGTATACCATATCTACCTATTAATCATCAACAAATTTTCCATTACCTTGTAGCAGAAATCATCTGACTGCCTCATCGGGAAGACAATACAGATGAAGAACCCCAATATCAAATGTGCTGTATGGTGCAACATCTTTCACAGAATGCAATTAGCATAATTCATAGACATCAGCAAATACAACAAAAATACTGATTTCTTGAGTTAATTGAAAATGGCTGAGATTGCTGTACAAAAACTGAACAGCTAGCTTTCTTTGTAGAGAAAAGTTAGAATGGAGCAAAATGCCTGCAGTGGCCATGTCAGAGAGCAGCAGGTGGCAACTGAAGCTCAAAGTGTCAGTGCACCAGGAGGATGGGTGAATCTCAGATAAGCAAGTCCCCTCAAGACCACGGACTCCCCAAAGCTTTTGTTTTTTCTGTGTCTTTACATGTTTGTTACTGCTTTCTTTCTCTGGGATCTGGCATGGTGTGAATAATTGTGGGGAAGTGCCCATTGCCTGTAATGTAGTGTGTTTATCTCATGGAGACATCCCATTCTAGTGAGCAATTTTACCTGTGGATTGTTATGAAGATGATTTCTTCCTAAGCTGTATTGTCTAACTGATAATAATTATATTAGTTGCAGATTTATTTATCAAAATACAAATAATATACAACCACAATTAGTTTAAAAGTGTTGATGATTAAAATTATGAGCAAGGAAGTGTCACACAGCTAGAACACGAGTTAATGTTGAGGAGCCACACAGTCTCGCTTAAGTTAATGATTAAGAAAAACATCTGAGTCCCAGTAGCCCAGCTAGTTTAAATTCTTTATCCTCATTGTTGGGAGATGCACTCACAGGTTTCAGAGACCATCGTAGCTGAAACAAAACTTTGAAAATAATTTAAAGTTAAACTAAGATGTATGGTTAACTAGCTTTGAAGTATTTGAAGCTTCTTTGGTGAGAAGACAATCTAAAGTTTTAGAAAAGCACATAGTTGAATGCAGAGCTCTTTAAGGTCAAGGAACAAGACCAAAGCAACCCAATTATCATTGGGTGACATACCTTTCTTGCTAGGATTGGTTGATGACAAAAGGTGATAATTAATTCCTTATACCCATTTCTGCCCTCCATCTCCTGCTGTAAAAATCTATTGATGGATGCATGTGTATGCTAAAGATTTAAAATAGATCTGAATGATTCTTTATTATATATAAAAGTTTAGGTTTGTGATTCTTTTAAGATTCCTTGTAAGATTACCTTTCAAGGCAATTAATAAGTATTTGGCCCTTTCTTTGTTACTGTAAAATCCAGCCTGCCAGTAAAAGACCTGACTGAGAAGGACATCTTGTTTGCCCACATAGTTAATGTATAACAAGTTGCTTGAGTATGACTGTATATGTGTGCTTGGGATATATTCCCTCCACAATGATTAAAGTCTTTAAACATGTAAGGGATATGGAAATCATGCTGTTTTTTACTGTATGTGTTTGTAATCATTGTAATCATTTATTTAGAAAACAGAATGTAGCTACACTGTAATTTCTATATTGATTGAAAACCTTTGTTGGGGTATATAATCTGCAGAAAAAAAATATACATCAGTGGTGGCTCCACCTTGCGGAGCTCTCCCACCTCCCATCCCAGCTTTCATCCAGGTACACCTTTCTCTATTCCTCCCTTCCCCCCTGGGGCCATAAGATCTCCCCAGCTCAGCTGCCTTGTGCGCTGGGCCTGGGCTGTGGGCACAACCCGGCAGGAGGCAGTTCCTGTGTTTTGATAGCCTGCCTGAGGACAGGTGGGCTCTGTGTCAGCTCAGCGACATTTCTGGCCAGCAAGGGGCACTGATCTTTTAGCAGACATCCATTGGAGGAGAGGTGAGATTGCTCCTGGCCCACGGCAGAAGCCCGGCAAGGAGGAATTCAGACTTTCCACGACCGCCTTGACTCCCTGGTCACCCTGCAGTGGTGGCTCCACCTTGCGGAGCTCTCCCGCCTCCCATCCCAGCTTTCATGCAGGTACACTTTCCTCTCTTCCTCCCTTCCCCCGTGGGGCCATAAGATCTCCCCAGCTCAGCTGCCTTGCATGCTGGGCCTGGGCTGTTGGCGCAACCTGGCAGGAGGCAGTTCCTGTATTTTGATAGCCTGCCTGAGGACAGGTGGGCCCTGTGTCACCTCAGCCACATTCCTGCCCAGCAAGGGGCACTGATCTTCTAGCAGACATTAATCAGAGGAGGGGATTTCCTCAACTCAGCTGCCTTGCACTCTGGTCCCGGGCTGTGAGCGCAACCCGGCAGGAGGGAGTGCCTGTGTTTCAATAGCCTGCCTGAGGACAGGTAGGCCTTCTGTCAGTGAAGTCCCTTCCCAACAAGGGAACCTTACCTAGTATCAGAAGATCCAATAGAGAGCATTTGAAGGAAGAGATGGGGAGACGCCAAGGCAAGAACTCCTCCAACAATCTGAAAAACAACATGAAAACACCAGATCCCAACAAACCTACAATAGAAGGACTTGAAAACCTTAATACAGAAGAAGTGGAAAAAATGTCATTATGAAAGCAATACAGTACCTTAAACAGGATATGAATAACTCCCTTAAAGATTTGGATGAGAAGTATAACAAAAAGTTTGAAGAACTGAGTAAAGAAATGGATGAGAAGTATAACAAAAAGTTTGAAGAGATGAGTAAATCCGTAAATGATACACTGGGAAACCAAGAAAAAAACAATCAAACAGATAATGGAAACAGGTCAAGAATTGAAAACTGAAATGGAGGCAATGAAGAAAACACAAACTGAGGGCTGGCTGGATATGGAAAATCTAGGTAAACGAACAGAGACTACAGAATCAAGCATAACCAATAAAATACAGGAGATGGAAGAACGAATAGCAGATGCTGAAAATACCATAGAGAAAATAAATGCTCTGATCAAAGAAAACAGCAAATCCAACAAATTCTCATCACAAAACATTCAAGAAATCTGGGACACAATAAAAAAAAACAAATCTAAGAATAATAGGGATTGAAGAAAGTGAAGAACTGCAGATCAAAGGCCCAGAAAATATATTCAACAAAATTATAGAAGAAAACCTTCCCAACCTAAAGAATGATATTTCTATGAAGATTCAAGAAGCATACAGAACACCAAATAGACTTGATCAAAAAAAAAATTCCCCCCGCCATATAATAATCAAAACACAAAACATACAGATTAAAGAAAGAATATTAAGAGTTGCAAAGGAAAAAGGTCAAGTAACTTATAAAGGTAAACCTATCAGACTTACACCAGACTTCTCTATGGAAACCATGAAAACCAGAAGGTCCTGGATAGAGGTACTGCAGAAACTAGGAGACCATGGATGCAAACCCAGACTACTATACCCAGACAAGCTATCGTTCACTATCAATGGAGAAAACAAAATATTCCAGGATAAAAACAAATTTAAACAATTCGTGGCTACAAATCCAGTCTTACAGAAAGTAATAGAAGGAAAATCACAACCCAAGAAATCCAACATTCCCAGCACTGTCTACAATAACCCAGACATCTAGCGACCCTTCACAAGCACAACACAAATAAGGGAAACATACAAACTTAACTAAACAAAAAAAATAAAAAAAATAATAACCAGAGTTATTGGAAGTAGACAAGAATGCCAGGCAACATTGGGTGCACGGGGGCAGGAGTGGATGGAAGGGGAGAGGGTTAGAGAGAAGGGAGTGGGGAAGGATTGGGGAAAGTTTGGGGGATTGGGATGGGGGGAGGGAGAAGGATGGATATGGGAGCAGGGAAGTATATATCTCAACTAAGGGAGCTATTTTAGGGTTTACTAGAGACTTGATTCTAGAGGGGTTCTCAGGTCCAAGGAGAGATCCCCAGATTGTTCCCTGGACAGCAGAGGAGAGGGTGCCTGAACTGGCCTTGGTCCATAACCATATTGATGAATATTTTGCATATCACCACAGAACCTTCATCTGGCG